ATTCTAAATATTTTAAACCAAATAAGTATATATTTTCTCACCTACCAAATTGATTGCCACTTCAAGACAGACAAAATAATCTTATCTAACTTTCTCATAAGTCATGAGAAAACTGAGCAAAGTAATTTGCCAAAATCACACAGTGAATTAACATTCATGCCTGGATTTAATTCAAGTCTTAATTTTCCTAAGGCTCATAAATTTTTCCTTTAAACGACATTGGTTTGCAATTTTGTCTCTAGTACAACAATCTTTGGAAATGTCACACTGGAATCTGAGCTTGATTGGCCTGGTAAATTTAGGATCCTGACCCCAGTAAACTCCCCAAAAGCCTTCCTTTATAGAAAAACAAATAATGAAGGGATGTAGTGTTTTCCCTTACATTAACTGAGATTATACAATACATAGTGGTTAAATTTTACATATAACTCACATTTATAATATGTGATGGTTAACAGATTTTAGGAAGAGGGGGACAATGCTAGTGCTGGGAAAGTAAAGTTGTACCCTTCAAAGATGTGTCCCTAGAAAGTCATGGAAAGTGTTCTCCTTTGTCATTGGCACAGACAAGAGGGGGAAAGGACAAGAGGCATAAGTCAGACAGGTTTAGATAGAAGAAGCAGAGCCAGTGGCTATAGAGAAAACTGATGAATAAGGGAGCAAAGTGTTTTGTTGTTATTTTTTGCTTGTTTGGATTTTCCCCCAGAATGTGGAGATGGATTTACTTTAATTGAAGAACCTTGTAGAGGAAACATTTAGCCACAAGCTGTAATATTTTGTAGAGCTAACAAAAAGATTGAAAGTCGTCAGACTAAGAACACCTGATTTCACCATTTATTGATAGGCAGAAAACGTTCTCCACATTCCTCATACCATCTGCACTGTGTTTAGTTTTTAGAAGAAAGATTGACAAACACATTACTTAGAAATTAGTAGTAAATTTGAAAGTATTTATAAGATCATCAGCATATTTTCTGTTTAATTTTCCATGGTTACCTTTTTATATTACTGAAAGAAAATAATTTTGTATTCTACCTTGAAAAATGTACAAAGTACTATAGAAAAATGGAAAATGCCTCTCTACATTCAGTTATTTTTTTGGCCTCATTATGTATGTGTGTGTATCTGTGTCTACATGTATATGTGTATGTACATGTGATAGTTTTGTTTTACTGTTTAGTGTTAAACATATATTAGGTGCTGAATTATTTTGCATTATTGTTTAGGGCTATAGTTTAGTAATAGCTTATTTATGTCTATAGTTTAATAATATGATTTAGTTGTTACTTGAGATATAAAATTGATCAATTAGGCAGATTAGCTATGTATTATATGGAATGTGAGATTTGATATCAATAGTGGCATAGATCATTATTTTGTATTTTTAGTATTTATGGATATAGCATTAATTTTTAAAGCAAATGACAGTCTCCATTCACTGTGACATCCTAAAACAAAATAGTTATGTTCGATTAATTAATAAATAATAGTTTAAGTTAGTGTTTTGTATTGTTACTCGTATATGTCTACATGTGCTCAAATGTTACTTACTTACTAATGGGTAAGTAAATTTTATGACATAATCTTGTTATGTTAAAGACAACCTGTCAGATTTCTTTTATTATTAGTCTTCTCATCTTAAAATATTAGTTAATAGCAATAATAACCTTATGGGTTTTCTGGAAACAAAGATGAAAAAAATTCAGGAATGTTCTCATAATATAGTGTGCAATTAATAGGAGAAGGAGGAGGAGGAAGAATGTTGACTGCAACATCTATATATTCATTAGATTCTGTGTAATATTTGGAGCTGAAGAGATTGGAAAGGTGGCATTATCATATAATTTTATATGATAATGATATGTGATACCCCCAAGTAGTATCACAAAATACTACTGCTAATAATAACAGTAATAAGATTTCCTTCCTCAAGGATTTCTCTCCTCCTAGGATCTTTCAATGGTGTGGGCACTGAGACAGTTAATTTGATATCAGAGCCACAAGAAACTAGAGTTGTGCTCTGACATAAAAAAAAATACTAGATGGAAATACATATTTTTGAATTATGCAAAAATAGCTGATGTTTTTACATCTGATTTTGCATACTAACTTTTTGGAAACTATTTGTCACTATTCTTTCTAATTCTGCACTGCTGTCAGTTTTGTTGCCTATTTACCAGTGTAGAGATGAGCTGTGAACTTTGGACTGACAACAACAGTTAAACAATTGCTCAAGGGCAAGTCAATATCTTTTTAATAATTATTCATTAGGACATATCTTAGACATTAAAAAGATGAAGGAAAAAATACAAAGACAATGCACCTATTCTCATCTTTAGAGATTAAATAGAGCAAATATAACTGAAGGCATCCCAGCCTTGCCATGTACCACACTCTATTCGAGTGTCCCTCTTACTCTAGGTCTCTATCATTATCCTAAATATGAAGTGATTGTCTTTTTCATTCACTTAAATATTTTTTTTATTTGACTACTTTGTTTTCTATTATACAGAAGATTTTTTATTGTTTCACTTTAACCCAGTAAACTTTTTCCATGTTCTTTTGTAGTTGTCACTACCTGCCTTGGTGAGGTGAAGGACACATATTCACCTAAGAATTGGGTGGTGGCTATGATAGAAGATTGTTGAAATACAAGGGAGTAGATCAAATAACTGAGTGTATGAGGAAAAAGGGAAGCTACATTTCTTTTCATCAGAGAAGGAAGTTAATGTGGCAAAAGAGAAAACTAGAATGAACCGTAAGGTATTAGGTTTGAATGGAGACATCAATGTGAATTCATTCATTGTGATACAATTGTAGATATAAAATGAATATATACATAAATACATGCATATAAATACTTAATAATTACAGAGGGAGAAAAGAACATTTTACAGTGAGAGATACTGGCTACAATAAGTGACTAAAATGATCACTTAATAATGGAGCAAATTGAAATTGTGGGCTAGCCGATAGAATGCAATGAAAACACAGACTCTGGTATTCCATCCAAAGATACATAACCTGAATCAAATTATTAAACAACAGGCAAAACACAAATTGACACATAAAATAACTGGCCTATAAGCTTCAAAAAGGTCGACATCACAAAAATCAAGAAAAAAAATCTGAAAGAAGCTAAAGAAACATTACTACTAAATGCAATGTATGGTCATGAACTAGACCATTTTTCTGTAAAGAATATTCTTGGGAGCAACTGAGTAAACTTGTGGGGATCTGAGGTTTAGGTCACGGTAATGAATCAAAGTTAATACTCTGATCTGGATTGTTGTATTGTGATTTTGTAGGAGAATATCAATATCCAGGGTGATTAGATGTCATGTTAACAACTTGATATTAAATTGTTCAGGAAAAAAATTATTTATATCGCATTTGCAACTTTTCTAAAGTTTGAGATTGTTTCAAAATAACATAAAGGGAAAAATGCCTATAAGGATATCACTAATTATGTATGACATTCCCTGTTTAGAAACGTTTACTCAACTCTCCTACCAAATCATCCCTGAGAAATTATTCTCAAAGCCTAGAAGAACACTCTTTTGTCTTTGATAAGTTGGTATGTTATTGGCTTAAACGACAAGAATCATAGATTCCTGGCTGTTAGGGCCCAAGATAAATACAGTGCTCACGTGGTATATAAATTTCTTCATTAAGACTGTTCCATACAATTTCTCCCTTCACTCTTTTGTCTATTTCTTTGTTTGCTTTTATTGTTGTGTTTAAGAGTTTGAAATTTATCATTCCTGTCTAAATTTCAAACACTTCTTTTTTAGGAAGGTACCGAGACATTTAATAAATATATTACTGTTTTCTTTTTTTCTGTCTCTTTCCTCTTTCCTCCAGGGCCATGGACCTCATGGGTATTCAACACTGAGCTAAATAGACCCTACTGTTTTTCTTTGCTGCAAAATTGCACAAATATATGCATTTATAGATTTCTTTTCAAAACATGAGTTTGTAACACTAGTTATAGGTGTTTTTTTGTGCATATTTTGGGACTTAAGGTATAAAGAACTTAGGCTAGATGAGAAAGTGCTGATGCAGGTTTGAAGATTGTCAAAACAAAGGACAAACATGCAGTGCACAGAGAATCAACACTGATCTTTGATTCCTGGTTCTCGACCAGGACTGAAGAGTTTGGTGGCCAAAGTAAGGAAAAGGCTAGGTCGGAGGAGTAGAGGTAGCACAGGCACAGTTGCCTTTTAAGCTTCCGTGCTGGGGTAAAGCTACATCCACATTCCAAGGCCACTCTCTGCCATCTGAAACTATCCTTTTGTCTCAGGCATTGGCTTCTCTGCCTTATACTGAATTCGTGCCTAGAGCATTCCAAGCCATGATCTACCATACAAATTATGAACCTTGAGCATAAATAAAAATCCAGAATTTTTTTTCATGTACCAGTTCAGACAACATAGGCAACAGAACAGCGTGCAGATTAGGGATGTCGGGAGACACATATAACACAGGCAAAAGGCTGACTGTCATGGCATTATAGTAACAGGAGAGCTGCCATTAGTACTGCAGGCTGCTCTAGTCCTGCTAAAATCCGCTTTCTCAGACTTCATAACTTGATGAATTTTTCAATTTGTTCATAAATTTACATAGGATTCTATAATCTCTGATTTTTGTTTTGTCTGCTGTACTGATTGGTCAGAAATTTATCTGGAAGGTAAAATTTTATAAGATACTGTCTGATGTATCTATTTAAGGAAAAACAAAGTCCTTGGTGACTTAAGTTATAAAGTTATATTTCATAAATTTTTTTCTCCACTTGACTGTCTTTTGCTTAATTTCTACATGTGTGTCAGCTTTGGTCTTGGTAACTCCATTTATGGGCCCCACCCAAACACACACACACCTGCACACTCACACATTCACGTCTGCCTAAGTATGCCTGAGGTATACACTTTACTAGATATAAAAGGGGCAGCAATCAAGGATATAAAAGAATTGGAAGAAGAAAAGGGATGTAATAAAAATGAACATGAAAATTTTGAGTTACCAAGGTTAAAAGTAAGAGAATGAAAATTCACAAGCAGAAAGGTGAAATCCAAGATTCATTTACTTAATCTTTCTGGACCAAATGAAACTGGATGTATCATGTCCTCTAGGCTCTTTATCATGCCTTTCATTTCAGAAATAATTTATTCATGAGTCTTAGAGACTTTTTTCTGCATCATGTAAATGTATCATATCTTGACAGTTTTTTCCTCTCTTCAGGCTCATCCTACTCCATTGTAATTTATTTAAGTATTTTAGTGTTTTAGAGGATTGTGGATTAATGATGCATTTAAACTGCTTTAGAATGACCTTAGGCTAGGTAAATTACTGAAGTAGTGCCAGCCAGGGATATTTATTTTCATGGCAGTAAGCTTTTACTTTCTTGTTTAACCACATGGCACACAAAGTAACTTAAAATAATTCTGTAAGCATTATAAACAAGTTTTAGTAAGAGGGAAATAACTATTTATACTCTTGGCCTGTCTATCAGCATATATAATTCTATTTTTCACAAACATTGAATGACTTTATCTTGACTATTAACAGGGCAGATTTGAAAAGAAGTGTGTCCTTAGAATAGAACTGTCCTCAGGCCTAGGCCCCATAGTTGAGATCTCTGCGTCTCACAATCGTACATGCAAAAAGAAATGTATTACAGAAACTGTAGGCACTCCTGTCACTTAGAACCCCTCATTTGGCGCTGGAATACTGCAATCCATAGCATTAGACATCAGCTTTGTGACTCTCACCTCTCAAGCCTTGGGGAAAAGCTCCCCCATCACTCCTGCCCAATGACATTGCCAGAGAAGTCCGTGATCTGAAAGTGAGGACATTCTGTGATGTATGCTGCGGACGTTTACAATAGGCGCTGCATAGGAGTGTGGGTCGCTTTGGGAGTAGAAGAGCACTTAGGTGACAGAAAATACAAATTAATTAACTTGTCAAATTATTTTCTCTCATATTGCATGATGCAGTAGATTTTTGGGTAACAAAGTATAATGCTCCAAGGGCGCCAAGTGAAGATCTATTATCTTGCTTCTTATGGTGTTGCAATTTATGTCCTAAAACGCTATTATTTCTCAGAATCATCTTAATCTTCTTTTCTCTTAACATTTTCTTCTGGCCCCATTTACCCCTGCTGTAAAATTATACAGGTTTATGTAGAAAATTCTGACGGCTAAATTACTGAGTAAAACTATAGGTGCCTCTCTCAAGAGGATGCAGGGAACCATTTTGGTTATGGTCGTAGCAAACCACATTATGTTTTAGTGAAAACTTGCCTGCCAAAACTTGCCTGCCAAGTGCTACTTGTACTCAGAGTAATTTTGACTGTGAAACTCCTATAAGATTGCTGTCCTGATGAATCTTTAAAAGCAGTTTCTTTTCTGCTATTTTCCCTACCATAGTATCAGTCATAAAGAGAAATCATCACACCTCCAAATATTTATTTCAATAGACTGAATATGTGAAAAAGTTTAAAAACAATGAAAAATTATTTTCAGGATTCAGAATTGAAATGAGATTATTAATTAATCGTTCATAAAATAAGAAAACAAATGAAATTATTAAAGTAAATATTACACCAATTTGATTATATCAATGACAAAAATGAAGCTGAACTATTAATGTTTAATCTGTGTATTGCTAAAATACCAGCCACAGAAAACAGTAAGTTGAAATAAATGAACATTTTGTTTGTTTTACAAAAAAATATATAATTTTGGTTTAAGTGAATTACTAAAAACAAAAACAAAAACAAAACCTTTCCATTTTCATGCATTGCTTTAAAAAATTGGTTAGAAACATCTTTGTGAAGATGGCACTGATATGTTGGTAAAGAAAAACATGTGTATAGGCCGGGCGCTGTGGCTCACGCCTGTAATCCTAGCTCTTGGGAGGCCGAGGCGGGCGGATTGCTCAAGGTCAGGAGTTCAAAACCAGCCTGAGCAAGAGCGAGACCCCGTCTCTACTATAAATAGAAAGAAATTAATTTGGCCAACTGATATATATATAAAAAAAATTAGCCGGGCATGGTGGCGCATGCCTGTAGTCCCAGCTACCCGGGAGGCTGAGGCAGAAGGATCACTCGAGCCCAGGAGTTTGAGGTTGCTGTGAGCTAGGCTGACGCCACGGCACTCACTCTAGCCTGGGCAACAAAGCGAGACTCTGTCTCAAAAAAAAAAAAAAAAACATGTGTATAAGCAATATTTTTAACCTAACTCCAGATATGTTCCTTGTGCCAATTGTAATGGAAAGCTTAAATATATTTTTATGAGATGTGGCCTCAACTGTATCTATAGCAATGGCATTACTTGAAGAAATGAAAATTTTCCACACAGCATTGATTGATTCTATCCTAAAACGGAACATCTTGAGGAAATACATATTAAACTTAACTTTACAACTACCCTCAGACACATGTTGGGAATAGTAAATATAAGCTATACAGAATGAATGATGACTTGTTTTTTGTCAGAAAACTAATTTTCAATTTGTGCTAGCATAAGTTATATAATATGTTTTTGGATTACTATTAATGCCAGCAGATGTTTACATACAATCTCAAACTGAACTAAGAGCATCTAGTTCATTTTTAAAAGGATTAAAAAACTCTGTAAAGGACGCTTCTAAATAGAAAGAAATAGTGCAAAATAAACTACAAAAGTGAAATGTACAAAAAAAAAAGTGGATTGGAAAAAAATACAAATGATAAAAGAACTAGAAAGAAGAAGATTCACAAATACATACTACACAAAATAATTGTTAATACTAATTTCTGGCCATTATAGATCAAGATATAGTGATTGAAGAGATATTTAAATTAATTGAACAACATACTGCTGATTTGTGTTTTTTTCATAAAATCCCAGCATTGAAGAATTTGATAGAAAAAGAACTTAAGAAATACTGTGTGAAACTAGATACTGTTTTAAGACATAATAATCATTATGTAATATTGATTTTTATCAATAAATGAAAATAATAACACTAAAAATGATAATTTATCTATCTCAAAATAATTAAAATAATATAAAAATTATGACTCATTACAGAAAAAATGTTTTTATGCATTTTTTAAATTTCAAAATATTAAGGGGTTTTTGTTACATGGCTTGAGTCAGGACTGTAAATGTGCCCATAACTTAAATAGTGTTCACTGTACCCATTAGGTAGATTTTTGCTCTGCCCCTCTTCTCCTTTTCCCCCTGCTTGATTCCAATCACTTTTACTTCCCTCTGTGCACTTGTGTGCCCATTGGTTAGTTCCAATTTATTAGAGAGTACATGTGATGTTTGTTTTTTTCATTCTTGAGATACTTCACTTAGGATAAAGGTCTCTAATTCCTTTCAAACTGCTGTAAAAGGAATTAATTCATTTTTTATGGCTGAGAAGTATGCCATGTATACATATACCACATTTTGTTAATCCACTCATGAATTGATGGGCATGTGGGTTGATTCCAGATCTCTGCAATTGTGAATTGTGCTGCAATAAACATTCGGGTATAGGTGTCTTGTTGATAAAATGACTTTTCCTTTGGGTAGATGCTCAGTAGTGGGATTACTGAATTGAATGGTAGGTCAATTTTTAGTTCTTTGAGAAATGTCCGTACTATTTTCTATAGGGTTGTGTTAATTTGCAATCCCACCAACAGTGCATAGGCATTCCTTTCTCTTTGGATCTGTCCCGTATCTATTGTTTCTGGACTTTTTAATAAAAGTCATTCTAACAGGAGTAAGGTGAAATCTCATTGTGGTTTTAATTTGTAATTCCCTGATTATTAATGATGTTGAGCATTTCTTCATATTTTGTTGGCTATTTGTCTATCTTCTTTTGAGAAACTTCTGTTCATGTATTTTGCCTACATCTAATGGGGTAGTTTGGTTTTTTTCTTGCTGATTTGTTTGTAGATTCTAGATATTAGCCACTTATAGGATATATAGTTTGTCTATATTTTCTCTCATTCTGTAGGTTGTCTATTTGCTCTGTTGATTATTTCCATAGCTGTGTAGAAGCCTTTTAATTTAATCAAGTCCCATTTATTTATTTTTGTTGTTGTAATTGCCACAAGGGTCTTAGTCACAAATTCTTTGCTTTGCCTTAGACTGATATCTAGAAGAGTTTTTCCTACATTTTCTTTTAGAATTCTTCTGGTATCCTGCCTTCAATTTAAGTATTTTATCCATGATGAATTAATTTTTGTGAGTGACTAGAGAAAGGGGCATATTTCATTCCTCTCAATGTGGCTATCCAATTTTCCCATTTATTAAATACGGCTTCTTTCCCCTATGTACGATCTTGTCAGCTTTTTGAAGATCAGATGGTTGTAGGTAGATGGTTTTATATATGGGTTCTCTGTTGTTCTGTTCCATTAGTTTATGTCCCTATTTTTGTACCAATACCATTCTTTTTTGGTTATTATGGCCTTATAGTATGGTTTTAGGGCTGGTAATATGATGCCTCCAGATTTATTCTTTTTTCTTAAGATTGCTTTGTCAGTTTGGGCTCGTTTTTAGTTCCAAATGAAGTGTAGCATAATTTTTTATAGATATGTGAAATATGCTGTTGGTCTTTTGATAGGGATTGCATTGAATCTGTAAATCATTTGGGGTAGTATGGACATTTTATCAATGTTGATTCTACTGATCCATGGGCATGATATATTTTTCCATTTGGTTGTGTCATCTGTGATTTCTTTCCTCAGTGTTTTGCAATCTTTCACCTCTTAAGTATACTCCTAGGTATTTTGTTTTCTTTGTAGCTACTATGAATGATATTGAGTCTTTGATTTTTCTCTCAGCTCATTCATATATAGAAATACTACTGATTTATGTACATTGATTTTATAACCTGAAACTTTCCTGAATTTATTTATCAATTCCAGGAGTCTCTTGGTGGAATCTTTGGAGTTTTCTAAATACAACATTATATTGTCAACGAAGAGCGATAGCTTGGCCTCCTCTTTCTTGATTTGGATACTCTTTATTTCTTTCGTCTTATTCCTCTGCCTAGGACTGCCAGCACTATGTTAAATAGAAGGAATATGTCTTGTTTCAGTTCTTGGGGGGAATGCTTTCTTCAACTTTTCCCCATTTAGCATAATGCTGGTTGTGGGTTTGTCAGGTATGCCTTTTATAATTTTGAGATATGTACCTTTTATACCTAGTTTGGTGAAGTTTTATTTGTCATGAAAAGATGTAGAATTTTGTCTGTTTTTCTGCATCTTATTGCGATGATCATTTGGTCTTTATATTTATTTATGTGGTGAATCACATTTATTTATTTCTGTATGTTGAACCATCCTTGTATCCCTGGGACAAAGCCTACTTGGTCATGGTGGATTATTTTTTTGATGTGCTGTTGAATTTGGTTTGCTAATATTTTATTGAGGGTTGTTGTATCTATATTAATAAGGGATTTTATTAATAAGGGTCAATAGTTTTCTTAATTTGTTGTATCTTTTCCAGGCTTTGGTATCAAGCTGATACTATCTTAGAATGAGTTGGGGAAGATTCCCTCCTTCTCAATGTTATGGAATAATTTCTGCAGTTTGGGTACTGGTTCTTCTTTGTTAAGTCTAGTAGAATTTGGATGTGAATCCATCTGGTCTTGGGTGGTTTTTTGTTGTTGTTGTTGTTGTTTCCAGAAGACTTTTTATTATTGCTTCAATTTTGCTATTCATTATGGGTCTATTCAGGAGTTCTATTTCTTCCTGATTGAGGCTGGAGAGGTTGTATGTTTTCAGAAATTTGTCCATTTACTCTTGTTTTCTAGTTTATGTGTGCAGAGATTTTCATAGTTTTCACAGGTGATGTT